CAGAAATCTAGGAAAGCTTCAAGCCCAGATGGTGTTTCACCTGCCTGTTTAAAAGTCTTTTATAATATTACATATTTTATATGTAAAATATTTTTACAAAGCAAAAACACATCCATTTTAGTGACATTTTCCACCCATTTTTAAATAAATGCTGTTCAGTTAAACTTTCTATTCAAGAACCTTGAATAAATTTACCGTGGTTTCCACAAAAATATTAAGCACAGCTGTTTTAACCATTGATAAATATAAGAAATGAGCAGCAAATCATCATACTGAAATGATTTCTGAAGGATCATGTGACACTGAAGACTAAAGTAATGAGGCTGAAAATTCAGCTTTGCCATTGCAAAAATAAAATAAATTTCAAAATACATTCAAATAGAAAACAGTTACTTTAAATTGTAATAATAATAGTAACTGTAACTCACTAACCCCAAACCTCTGAATGGTAGTTGTGTGTAAGTATACAAGTAATAAATAAACAGAGTAAATTCTACATTTTTACTGGTTCTGATTTCCAGCTTCTACAATTATTTTAAATGAGATCAAAAGTGGAAAACTGCTCAATGCAAATATAGTAGGTACTTATGATTTGCTCTTCAAGAAACTATATACATAACCATAACATGCCTGTATGATACACTGACCCTCCTTACAACGCTTTCATCTTCAACAGCAGAAATCATTCCCATGAGATCCCCTGTGTTCTGCCTCACATGTCAATATGAATTTCCCTCCTTTATCACACTCATTACGCATTTTTTTGTATAAAGTCATCAAGCATCTTTGAGCTGTAAAGCCTGCTGCTGTTCTGCCCGAGGACAAGCCTGTTACAGATTCAAGGAGGATTGCTGATATGCTTGAATTATTTAGAATGGCGTTCAGGTAAATGCCCCTGACAGATAATATGAGAATGATGACCTGACACAATCACAGACGCCTGTTGGCACGCAGCGTATCAGAGACACATCAGGCCTGACAGGATGTGCTTTCATGATGATACCCAACTGGGATTTACAATACTCCATCTTCTGAATGGAGAGAAGCACCTGAAGTGCGCGCCCATCGAGAGCAGAGAACCAAAGATTGAAAGGAAAAAAACCAAAGCATCGAAGGTTTGAGCTCCTGTCGAAAGCTGATGTCGACAGAATTTTAATGGCTGATGTTTGTGGTGGAGTGCTTAACTCAGGGGAAACTTTGTCTTCTTTTTTTGAAAAGAGAGAAAAAGTCGGAGGAACAAAACGGATGCTCTTCCTGCTGAATGGACATGGGAGAGACTTTTTAAGGCGTCGAAGTGCTTTGTCTCACTCTCTAGAATCCAAATTCATGACCATGTCCACCTCCCTGAAGCTTTTTTGTTTTGGGCTTTACCTATAGTAAAGTTTCACAGAAATATGGCTTTTGCAGCTGTCATCTGATGAGGCGGGAGCTCATGCCAAAGTGTATTTAAATGTGTAAAAAGTAAAAAAAACTCATTTTGGCGTGGTACACGTGGTATTGAATATAAGTGTATATAAGCATACATATAAGCTGAACATCTGTAAAATTACAGTACCTTCTCAGGTTTGCCTAATATCACAAATCAATGACAAAAATTAAGTGACAAATACAATGGGAGTTCGACTGGAATTATGAAATATTATGGCTGCGGTAAGATTACAATTGTCAAATCAAATTTTGATCAACAAGTAAAATGATTCATGGTCACATTAAACAAGATAAATTAAACTATTTATAATAATATAGAAAACATTATTAAATCATGATTTTTTTATTTACCCAAATACATATTTAAATAAATAAATAAATACTGGGAATAATAATAATAATAATAATAATAATTATTATTATTATTAAAGGTATTAGCTGCAATATAGTGGTGTATTGCTGGCCAAAATCAGCTTATTTTTGTAACAGTCCAACAAAAAATTATATTTTTGGTATGTCTGATTTGCATTTCATAACAAAGATCATGTAATCATGGAAAGTGAGTGATTAATAAAAGATTAATAAAAGATAAATTAAAAGATGGGAAAATTAAATAAAATATAATATATAATAGACATTAAAAAGGAGAAAAAAATAAAAATAAAATAACAATATAATTTATTAATATGATGATAATATCATTGAATTATTAATCATTTATTTATTTAATAAACATATTTGGTTAAATACAAATATTTGGGAATAACTACAGTGTTAAAGATTTACTATTGTTGCAATAATGATATTAATAATACATTATTATTAGTAGTAGTAGTAGTTGTAGTCCATTTTTTTGCTGTGATAATGAGGCATATTTGTGAACCAAATCAGATTATTTGTGCAACAGTAAAATATCCAAATAAATATTCTGATCTTGTGTTCACAAAGATCATGTTAAACACCATTCAATAGCAATTCAACTAAACATTTAAATTGTCATGTTTGCAATATGTAACATTTTAAACTTTTCAAATGTAATATTATTAAGGAGCAATATAGTGGTGTATTTGCGGCCCAAATCAAAGCTGTATAATAAATTAACTGCACTATATATAAAAATCAGAGACACAATCACAAGGAGATGCATCTGAGATGTACAACTGAAAACCGGTCCACTGAAGCTCCCTGAACACACCAAAAACACACAAGCCCACTCTACTCTCACATATCTAGAGATACAGTGTGTTATTATGACTTTACCCGACCCATCTGATACCATCTAACAGACGACTGACTGATAACAGAGAGAAATATGGATGCAAACGCACAGACATATGTGTGCGAGATGGTTGGGGTTTAATGAAAAAGCACTCTGGACTCGTTGGGTCAGACTTGTTTACCTCTTCTGACACAGAGTGGCACTTTCATCTGTCTTCTGCTCTAATTGGACGCTCTGCTTCGACTCTCATCTTTTAAGCACGGTTACCTTACAGACACACACACACACTGTAAGGCGTGTTTACCTCTCGCGCTCATAATGACAGCTATTTCTGCGGCTTCTCAGCTGTTTGCATCTGAAAGCTGGGTTCTCCTTCAGCACTTCCTGCGGCTAAACCTGTTGTACACAATCACACTCTTCAATGAGGATTCTGTCATCATTTGCTCACCCGCATGCTGTTGCAACATTCAATTTCAGTCGCTTGATACACAAAAGCTATTGTTCATCTTCAGAAGACTTGCCATAAGTCATACGGACCACTTTTATGGCGTTTTTGCAACCAGTATAATATTCAAAATAAATAATTCAAAATTGAGTTCCACTGAACGTCATATGGGTTTGGAATGACATGAGGGTTAGTGATATATAGATAGATAGAAAGAACGATAGAATGAAAAAAATGAATAAAAATATAAATTAAAAAATGAATCAATATTGAGAATGATTACAGCATAATAATAATAATAATAATAATAATAATAATAATAATTATTATTATTATTATTATTACATTATTCTTATTATTTAAGGTCTTAGCTGCAATATAGTGGTGTAATAATAATAATGACAACAACAACAATAATAATAATAATAATAATAATAATAATAATAATTATTATTATTATTATTACATTATTCTTATTATTTAAGGTCTTAGCTGCAATATAGTGGTGTAATAATAATAATGACAACAACAACAATAATAATAATAATAATAATAATAATAATAATAGGAAATTATTACATTATTATTATTTTTTATTATTACACCACTGTATTGCAGCTAATACCCTAAATAATAATTATGATAATAATAAATAACTGTAATAAAAAAATATATAATAATCATTATTTAGGTCAGGGTATTAGCTGCAATACAGTGGTATAACAACAACAACAACAACAATACTACTACTACTAATAATAATACTAATACTAATAATAATTATTATTATTATTTAGGCCAGGGTATTAGCTGCAATACAGTGGTATAACAACAACAACAGCAATACTACTACTACTACTACTACTACTAATAATAATAATACATATCGGGAATGATTACATTATTATTATTATTATTATTATTATTATTATTACAACATTATTATTACAGTTATTTATTATTATCATAATTATTATTTAGGGTATTAGCTGCAATACCGTGGTGTAATAATAATAATAATAATAATACACATAGGAACTAATTACATTATTAGTATTAATATTATTACAGGAGGATTATTATTACAGTTATTTATTATTATCATAATTATTATTTATCTGCAATACAGTGGTGTAATTAAAAAATAAAATAATAATAATAATAATAATAATAATGATAAATATTGGGAATTAATACATTATTATTATTACAACATGATTATTATTACAGTTATTTATTATTATCATAATTATTTAGGGTATTAGCTGCAACATTGTGGTGTATTTCTGGCCCAAATCTGCTTATTGTTTTAACAGTAAAATATCCATTGAAATACATATTTTTTTGGTTTGCCTTCTTTGCATGCGATAACAAAGATCACGTGAATCAGTTTTTGAATCATTTGAATCAAAGTGAATAATACAATCAGAAAAATGAAAGAATGTTACCATAAGTTTTTTCAACTCATGTTTTATTATTGTTTATGTTTTGTTATAGTAAGTATGCATTCATATTTGGGTTTTATTTTTATATTTTCAGTATATTTCATTTTAGTCTAAGTTTTAGTAATTTTGGTATGCACTTTGCCATTTTTATTATTTTTTAGACTTCTATGTAGTTTTAGTTTTATTTCAGTTTTATCAATTTTAGTATTTCAATTTAAACAAAAAAAAAATAGAAATGCTGCCTTGGTAACCAACTGAAATCAGTTTCTCATCTAATATTTCTTATTTTATTTTTATTTGATTTATTTCAGCTTTATTTCAATTAACGCAAACAGCTTTTAATAGTTTTAGATTTTGTTGTAGTTAATAACGGCACTGCTTTTCTCCGAGATAGATATCAAATCTTTGAGAGCAGCATTATGAAGCTGTCAACAGACGGAGCGTCTACAGAGGTGAAGGATACTTCCCCGGCGGCCCCACTGCCACTCTGTAGTTGCTGTAGCTGTTGGTTGGGTGGAAGTTGAAGATGAAGATGACGTTGGCCCTCTCGAAGACGATCACCTTGTCTCCCTCATGTTTGGCGCTAATGTAAGCCTACAGAGAGAGACGGAGATCAAAGATTGAGCACAGTGGGATTGCATGAGATTTGTGTGCTTTTAATCACACATGTTCTGTATCTCAGCCTCTGCATGTTTGATCTTTAGCAGTAACGCTGTGGTTCCCATCTGTACAGATATTGTTGAAAATCCCACAACTTTCCATGCCCTATGCATGAACTCATTGCTAATCATCCCAACGTTATTAAACCTCTGTTCTGTAAGATGGGTTTTGAGAAATTTCTTACAGGAAGTTTCCAACTACCCTGAAGTTTCATAGTATGAAAGAAGTTTAATTTGGAAAAAAGAACAGATTAAATGGAAAAAAAGATATTGAAGTAAAAATAAATAAATAAATAAAAACAAATAAGAAATAAAAAGAAAATGAGATACAACAAAAAAAGAAAAAATAACAAATCAAACGTACTCCACAATAAAATATTTCAATAAATATTAAATGCAATAAAATAAATAAATAGTGTTGATTAGTTAAACTGTGCGGAATAAATACTTCTGAGAAAACAATATTGAGAATTACTACATTCTTAAAAAAGAACTCGTTAACAAAAATAAATAAATATAAATATAATCTAGATTCATAAATAAAAGTCTTAAAGGAAGTCTCTCACTGCACTAAAGGTTCATAGTATGCAATAAGTTTTATTTGGCTCAAATATGGATTAAATAAAAGCTAAAAGACAATTCAGGAAGAGACAATAAAAATTGAGAAATAATAATAAATACAATCATTAGTATTACACAAAAACTTTATTTATCATGTATGCATTTCTTGTACATACTGTTAAAAATAAATAATTAAAAAATGAGTGCCAAATAAACAAAGAGTTTCAAAAGATTTATGATTTATATATATATATCGCACACATAATCTAAACAAATAAATAAATAAATACAATTAGTGCAAATTTAATTTTGAAAAAAAAAAATGGGATCAACTACAGTATATTCTTAAAAATTAATTATAAGTAAAAGTAAAAAGAAACATTAAAGTATTTCTCTATTGTGATTAATACAAAAAAAATCCATCTATGTTTTACATGCAGTATATTTGAGAATTGGTGGCCAGCTTAGTTTTTTGCAACTGTAAAATTTCAAATGAAATAAATATCAAGAAGCAAGAAGAATATTTCCAAAGGGCCCATCCACTGAAGATCTTTCTCCCTACAAAACACAGACCCTTCAAACTACTCAAACTCCAACTTTTGAAATGTGGGATTTTTTTTTCTTTTCTTTAATATCTAACTGAAATCCAGAGATGACACTCTTGGGGCAAAACTGCAGCTCACTGTCAGCAGCAGATGACTGCAATGATTTAGCTGGTTTCCAGCTGAAAGACAAGTCTGTAACATGCCATTACCAGAGATTATCAGTGTCACTCTGCCCCACTATTTTTAGTGGTCCAGACCCTCAACCAATTTGGGAACTGAAAAAGAAAGAGAGACAAGAAACGCTCCTACTGAACAGATAAGACATCCAGATGAAGGAGCCAGAATTCAGGATTTATCTGAAGAGTTGCATTCTTTTCTGTAGCTCTTATACTTGGCAGGGTTAGAAACCAACTTTTCTATTAAGGGGCAATAATTGCTCCCTAGAATTGATTTTGAGGGGCATATATGACCATTTTACCATTTATGAATTATTATGCTTTTTATGCTTTATAAATTCAAGACTTTAGATTGGTTAATTTAAAATTGCTAATTTGCAGCATGAATAACAAAACGGTTATTCAAAAAGCGAATAAATGATATAAAACGAGCAAAAAGATTATTAAACCATCAATGACCTCAGTCTAGCACGAATAGTACTACCAACAAAAAAAATAAATAAATGTAAGTGGCCTTTTCACACAGAACGCATTTTTTTTTTCTATTTCACTGCGGTACTTTCCCATTGCTTTTCCATGTAAACAAATACACGCCACAGATGGACGTGTTTGACTGACGTGTCTTTCGTGTGCAAAACGACATTCCAAAAACATGGAGCTCAGGGCCCAAAACTAGTCCAATTGCATTTCGAGGAGGGTCCCCCAGTAAAAAACACATTCCGGGGGGTAAAATACACGTTTTTGGTGGAGTTCCCTTGGTAAAATTAACATACCAGGGGCTAAATAACACGCTAGTGGAGTCGCTTCAACCCACGGACATGAAAAACAGCCTGCGGCAACAGTGTTAAAGGCTTAGTTCACCCAAAAATTAAAATTCGGTCAAATTCCGTCTGCAGCGGTGCACCACCGTTATGGAAAGAGTAT